GTATCAATCTTGTTGGCAAATATCATAAACTGAATAATATATCGGCATATATTTAAATACTAAATCCAACGTACAATTTAACTACTAAATTTAAATTATCAGTTAACTCGGCTTCGGACCATTTGAAATTCTAATACGTAACATTAAGATTTTCAACTTGTTTCGGATTATGAATAGCTTACAACGCTACTAGTATCTACTACCTAGAGTTTCCAAGGCTTAAATATAGAAGCAGAGTTTTCGAAGTGCTCGCCCACCATAAAGCATGAGGGATAGAAAATATTTAGCATATGATCTATATTGCATAAAACCCACGCATATTTGAAAATTAAAATACAAACTGCTTGCAGTCCTTATATGGAGTACCTATTTTACGTGTTCAACATGAAACTGAACTAGATGTAGTTACATAAGTGTAAACTGCATGAATTTGTGCTTCTTCTCCCAATCATTTCATGTAGGTAGTAAATATAATATGAACATCATAAAAAAAATTGTTGTGCTTCTTCTCTCAATCATTTCATGTAGATAGTGAATATAACATGAACATCATAAAAAATGTGTTCGTGCTTCTTCTCTCAATCATTTCATGTAGGTAGTAAATATAACATGAACATCATAAAAAATTTGTTTGTGCTTCTTCTCCCAATCATTTCATGTAGGTAGTAAATATAACATGAACATCATAAAAAATGTGTTCGTGCTTCTTCTCTCAATAACTTCATGTAGGTAGTAAATATAACATGAACATCATAAAAAATGTGTTCGTGCTTCTTCTCTCAATCATTTCATGTAGGTAGTAAATATAACATGAACATCATAAAAAATGTGTTGTGCTTCTTCTCTCAATCATTTCATGTGGGTAGTAAATATAACATGAACATCATAAAAATATGTTTGTGCTTCTTCTCTCAATCATTTCATGTAGATAGTACATATAACATAAACATCATAAAAATATGTTTGTGCTTCTTCTCTCAATAATTTCATGTGGGTAGTAAATATAACATCAATGATTCGATCAGCGACATAATAAGCTATGTTTTATGACATAAGATGTGTAATGATTCGATCAGTGGCATATCAAGCTATGTTTTATGACATGAGATATGTAATAATTCGATCAATGACATATCAAGCTATGTTTTATGACATAAGATGTGTAATAATTCGATCAGTGACATATCAAGCTATGTTTTATCACATAAGATGTGTAATGATTCGATCAGCG